TTTTTTGCATTTTTCTTATGAGAATAGTAAACAATCAATAAATTAATTATAATAAACAAGGTGATAAAAAGTGACAAGTAAACAAATTCCATAATTATGAATATCACGGAATAATCCTCAATATAATTTCCGATAATAAACGGTGTGACCAGGGTCAATAATCCTTTGAGTAGTCTGAATGTGGCACTAAGTTTATTAGTGAATCCAATGTGTTGTTCAGTGAACGCCACGATCCCGGCATACATGGCTGAAAAGCACAGACACGTGCAAATACTGGCCACCTATAGGCATACCATTGAATACCGGCCCGGAATCAATAATACTGTACCCGTAAACACAAGCATAATATTACGCTTAATATTGTTTTCAATTGAAACCTACATTCAATAAAATAAGTTTTAATTATGAAAATACCTTTTCATTGTATACTAAGTATAGTAATACTGTATTACTTGTACGGATAGAATATATTGATGACGAGTCCGGCCGAGTAGATGGCTATGGATATGGATATGGATGTCGAGTATATATTGGTTGCACTTATGAGCCGATAGTCTGAGCGGTAGTACTGTTTGTAAGTGACCTGAACTTCATGAACACCTCATAAATGGCATACAAGGAGACGGTTAACGCAAATAAGAGTGCAATCCATGCGAAGGGGTATCCTGAGTGTGTTGAATATGTTTTCAGAAAAGTCTATCACTTTATCGTTATTATCATTATTATTATCATTATTATTGCCATCATTTGTGGTTTGGTTTTCATGATTCACATCCTCGTCCTTCTCTTTTGGCATTTTGTATGGCTTTAGACAATACATTATGAACAGAGATATCGGTACATAGAATAAGGGAATATTATGTTAATAAAATTAATTAAAAATATAAATTGCAATCAACAATATTAAAGAAAATTATTAAAATATTTTGATAATCTCTCACTGATTACAATACAGGCGCCGATCAGGAATATGGGAAACATGAGTCGCGATCGCCTATCAATGACATCGTTTTCATTAATCCTTAACTCGTTGTCAAAAACCATTTTCTCGTTTTTGGACTCATTGTCCACTTCGCCCACGAGGTATGGCTTCAATGCTTGAGTGCATAGTACGGAATCGATACCTTCGGACACCTCTCATGGATCTGTAAGATC